ATCTACCGATATATGAAATTTGCGTTCATCTAAAATCAATTTTTGCGAACAATTCTACAACAAACGGCAAATCTGCTGACGATGAGTTTGAAATTTCACACATTCCACGTGTGCACGAAGTTAGCACCTTTGACAGGCAGAAAGTCTCTCACCGAGTTCGCAATCTTGAAATTCGTTGTTGACGCACGTTTTAGGCGAACATTCTCTTAGTGTCGGTCCACAATGAGGATTTTAAGCCCCAAGCAGTAAGAAATAGACCAGTCGAATACGAGAAGAATAATCGATTGCAATTGGTCAACATCTTACGGCGTGAGGCTTGAAATCCTTATTGCGGACCGACACTTACAGGCTAACAAAAGATCCCGAATCCCACTTGTGCAGATCGACTTCTTGCAGCGGCACGCGCTCGCCGTCTGTCAATTAATTTAAGTGATAAAATTCCGACGCGACCAGCCGAGTCGATCCACGAGTTCATCCACTCACTCTTGAATTTTACAGAGGACATTCTGTCGCTGACTGAGAGATATTGAGAGTATTCGAGCATCGAGAAATTGTTGCATTCGTGAAATTGTTGAGATTGCTGTATATATTATACAAAATGTTAAAAATATCTTCGTAAGGAATTCCGCGCGGAAATATTACTTTGAAAAGCTGTATTAAATTTCACAATTGCAGCATATTTAGAATTTATTCTCTTGTTACGAAATAGTACATTTATATTACTACTTCATATTTTAAATTTTAATTATCCACGACCTCTTTTACAGCACGATGATATTAACCGTGTATACGTGATGCTAGACGCTTTCATTATACGCGCTCCTACTCCTCGTACAGCTATGAGATTAATTAAACATTACGTCATGCGTTAACGAGGAATATACACTTCTCGTGACCGCGGAATAACCGGCGTGTTCTTTAGGAGATACGCGCGCATTAAACGCAAGTCGGGCAAGGCCCAGCCCCTCTCTATACGATTATAATCACGCACGATTACACCGAAAAGCAGGAGGTAACCGCAAAGCCACAGTGTCTCGAGATAAAAGCGTAAACTGCCTTTGCACGCGTCAATTTCTCTCTTCGAAGAGACGAAAGAGAATTTTAAATTTCTGTCGACATACTTAATCGGTACGCGGAAAGGACAATTTTGCTGAATCCAGATCTGAAGATAATTTTTGTTCAATAATCAAAATAATTTGGTGACAAAAGTCAAAATGATTACTAGAATATCAAAATGTTTTTATAGCAATGCTTATCAGTTTTAACATTCCAATAAATTATTTTGATGATTCAACAAAAAATTATTTTCAGATCTATATTTAGCAAAATTAGATCTTTTAACAAAAT